GCTTGCACTACGTTATCAGGAAGACTATTCCATACTCTGACTACACGCTGTGTAAAGAAGTGCTTCCTTAAATCCAGTTTGAAATGTTCTCCTGCTAATTTCCACCTATGGCCGGGAACAACAGGCACAAGCCAGAGAATAACCCAGGATGGGGCGCCTGCCCACAGCAGAATACTGATATTTATGTACCGTATAACTTTGCATCTTCCACCAGCTTCTGACTCCGCTGTCGGAGATTTTCTGTGTCTGCCAGGGCTCTCTTGTATTTGTCCTGTTTGTAGCAGATTACAGGAAAACATGCCAGATAAGGGCCCTTACCGGACAGGCCTCTTAAAATCAATAAGTAACTTTTCATTTCTTTACTGTACAAATTAGCAGCGTCCAATGAGGGTGCCTAACATGTTCAAAACTCATGTCAGCTCCAAACGCAAATCTGACCAAGTTCCATAAGAGAGATTACTGAAACCTAGGAGGCCACGAGGTCAATCACCAGTCGGGAGTTGCACCAGGGACGACTCCCACAGAAGGTGCTCTCACCGTGATATCCTTCAGCTGCTCCTCCAGCTGGGCCTTCTCCTCTACCAGCGTCTTCTCCGCTGCGCTTACCTCCACCTTGGGGGCCCCATTGTCCTCCTCGGGGCTCTGCCCGTTGTTCTTCTGTGGGGCAGCTGCACACAGGAGACGGGGCGCCACCCTGTGGTGAGTAGAGGAAGCACTTGTTTGAAATGTAACGTTCCAGCACTTTAGGAATAAGATCCAACATGCTTCAGCTGGGAAAGTGCAGGATCCAGGTAGCAGTGGCTCAAACTCATTAAAACCAACTACCATATTATCACCATGATCATTAACTATAACGAGGAATAGGGTTTTAGAATAACTGGTAAAGACCCAGGGAATTTAATCCGACCAAGGGATAAAGCAGTTAACCAGCTTGACACAAGACCCCAATATTTATTCAGTAGAGTGCATTTCGATATGCGGATATCGACAACTCCATTTAAATTTGACAGCCTGATTTTGCAAATCAGAATTCGAATCACCAAATACTGCCCCGCACGTTTCGCATGAGTGGCAGGATTTGCCGCTACATAATGTTGGCGATATCCATCAGTAAGAATTCGAGCCCGCACTTAGGGCATTTCTATTCAATTAGCATGTGCTGTGCAACAGAACGAAACTCAGTTAGCTGTTCTGCAACACATAAATAGGGAAATCGTTCGGGAACATACTACGAAGAAATTCAAAGTTGTCCTGTTCAGCTGCTTTTATAACACCTAAAGAAAGCTCAGACACGAGGATATGACAGCATCGTCACTGCAAGTAAGACCCATACAAGCCCTTTAGTCATGCTAAGATCTTTTCAATTAAATAATTTTATTCTGGAAGCTACCCCTTTAGCGGACCCTCTTTTACCTTAAAAAAGCAGGTGATGCCACAATGCCGTAACTCTGCCTCGCAGCCCGTACGCACCAGCTCGCCATTTTCGCTCGGTCGCAGCTCACACACGCTGACGGCGCAGATTAACGTGCTGTTCGTGGCATTGCGTCTACACCAATCATAGCGCGAGGCCGCCGACGCCCTTCAAAAGCGTCCAATGAGAGGGCGCGCACATCCTGTTGAACTAGTTTGGTTGAAATCACGCAGAAGGTCGGCGCACGTGACCAAGGACGATTTCCAGGGTAAGGTTAAGCCGGGCGGAGTCAGTATGAATGACTGCGGCTTTTTCTCAATCGTCTGTCAGTTTCCAACACAACTTATTATCTGTACATATTTTACTAGACGCCATTGCCCAAAGCGTCGTAGAAATGAGGAAAGCTTGTGATCAGGGTTGGTGACATCCCTGAAGCAGTTTTTGAGGCTAAGGCCCTTGATTAATTGCATGATTAATTACTCATCACGGGACTTGAACGCACAGACTTTCAGATAAAGATACAGACTTCATTACATAAGGTTATACTCTGTGTCCTAGTAAGCACTGATGAAATTTAACATATGTTACACATTGAAAATTAATCACGTTTAGGAAAAAAAATATAGAGAAACAAAATATAAACTCAGAACTCTTTATTGCCTGAATGTGAACATACCTGAATTGCTTGCGTTTCGGTGTAAACAGTTAACACCGAGAGGAGTGCAGATAACAGGGGACAGTGAAAACAGGAACGAAGGACAACTGCCCAGTGCAAACATAAGAGTACAGTGGTGTTTTTAAATAATAATAAATACTTTGACATTAGTACTGCTTCATGTCAGAGACCAAAATAAGTTTCTTGTTTTATACGTCACATTGTCTCTTACATAATTAAACATCAATACCACCATCCACCACCCAGGAACTAAGTGTTTAATTTGTTTAAGTTTTTTCTTCCCCAGAAGTAGTAAAGAGATGTGACAGCTGGATGTCAAATAAGCATATTTACCAGCAGATCTTTCAGATTTCTCCCGATACAGTTTTCGCTGATCAATGTAAAATTTCATGTATTTTTCTTAATTCAAAGGATTAAAGGTTAAATTATTTATGAAATCAGGGAGGCTAGCTGTGTCACATTTGAGTGATAGCCATTCTCCCTCTCATTCAATTAATAGAGTTCGCTGCTTATAAAGTAAGAATAAGATGGACTTTACTGATCCCTGCGGAAATTATGGAAACGACTAATCTTCCATGTGTTTATTGTTTCAAAGCAGGCAGACGTATTAGCTAATTTAGCAGTAACTACTAGTGTCACTACTATTAGAACAAAAACAGTAAATCCTTTAATATTATATCAGTATCCTTGCTCTTTTTAAATCTCCGCTGTGTGACTGTTTTTCCGATGAAGAAGCAGGTAAGAAAGTGCCGATGTTTCCCTGTAACCTGTAGTTTAAGCGCCAAATCTCTGTCCATGAATACCCCATAAACCTTAAGTTACGGTACACTTTGCATTCCATCACCCTTCCCTGTATCTGGGCACGACAGGAAGTGAGATCCTTGTTACTCTACAGTCTACAGGAAGTGACTGTACTCCACCCCTTAACCAGGGCTGTAGTTAAAGTGATTATTATTATTATTATTATTATTTTTTTTTTATATTTCTACTTATTCTGTTTTTCTTAATTTATGTTCTATGTTGTCTGTGAATGTACATACCAATGCTGTTAAATTGTGGGCAGTGGTGACTTAATGGTTAGGAAAGTGCACTTATAATTGAAAGATTGCTGGTTTGAATCCACGACCAGCAAGGCACTACCCCCAAGCACTGCTCCCTGGGTGCTGAATTAGCTGCCCCCTGCTATGTCACATACAGGTTAAATGCCAAGGACATAATCGTATTTTGTTGCTTTGGTGTGTCAACACTGATCACCAAATTCTAAATATACAGCACAATTTTTTGTTTCACTCATTTCTCAATTTATGGGTGCACGTCTGTTTCTCATTAATGAAGGGCTCCATCCTTGCTTTATGGGACTTCAGTCCTGCTTCTAGGAGCCTGATACAAACTGTCCTAGCAGTGCACTTCACACCTGCACTTAATGTTTCCCATTTCTTTTGAAGGTCACTTGATGTCATCCTACGATTCATGAGAAACTGGCAGATAAGTTAACGGTCCTCTCTGGTATTAGAATGTCGCTTCTGCCCTTTACCTGGCTGGTTTCTGATCATTCCCAGTGTCTCCTGCTTCACCATATTCTTCTGTACTGCTGTCTTAGAAACTTTGAACCTGAAAGCATCCTGCTGCTCAGTGTAACCTTCTGCCCGCAGAACCAGGATTAAACCAGGATTTAAAAATCCAGACTTATGGTGGATTAGTGGTCTCTTAATTTTTTTCATGGCTGTATATGCTTTGATTTCCAGCGGTTCATAATGCGATGTAACATGCATCGGTAATCGAAACTAATAAATCTATAGTTTCCTGATCCTCCGTGTGGTGGGGCCCATAGACCCTAAGTCCCGCCCCCCGTTTCTATGGGCCTTCATTGCCTATGGTTCTGCCAATGATGGGGCGGCAAACCGTCACAGTCACACTCACACTCACCATTCACACACACACTTACGCCTATGGACAATCTGGCAACTTCCCCAAGGCATGTTTTTGGACTATGGCGGGAAGCGGAGAACCCGAAGGAAATCCCACGGTGACACGGGGAGGACGTGCTGACTCCACAGGGAAATCCTATGGCAAACAGACTCGTATAAGCCAGCGACTCTCAGATAAGCAATGGAGGGGGTGGCTGTGGGTGGAGCGACGCAAACTGCCAGATCAGTGGGGAGCATGTTGCAGCTCTGCCGTTTGGTGTGGCTGCTGCATATGCATGGAGCCCTACTGCTGTACTATACTCCATACTCCTCTATACTCCACTATACTCCACTTCTGACAAGTACCAAAGGCACAGACCACTTCATTCATTCACGCCATCCTCTTCCACTGTCCTGTCACCCTGACCCACAGTGTCTCTGCTTTGATGACTATTGGCAGATTGTGTGTCACGTTCAAAGGATGACAGCAATATGACAAGGGCTTTCCTGAAAGATGCATGAGTAATATACTGGCTAGAATGAGGTGCCAAACTAATTTCCCACTTCAGTAATAATATGATCTCATTACACAGCTCTGTTTTTTATACAAAAACAAGCAGGAGTGAAGCAGGAGACACTGGCAATGACCAAAAACCAGGTAAAGGGCAGAAGCAGCTTTCTAATGCCTGAAATGACCGTCAACTTATCTGACAGAGTCTAATAAATCAGAGGATGACATCACGTGACCTTCAAAAAAAGGGAAACATTAAGTGGTGTGAAGTGCACTGTTAGGACAGCTCATATCAGGCTCCTAGAAGCAGGACTGAAGACCCATAAAGCAAGGAAGGAGCCCTTCATTAATGTGAAGCAGGGAAGAGCCAGGCTGGAGTTTGCAAAAAAATATGCATATTTTACACAGACGAATTCCGATAAACTGAGACATAAGTGAAACTAAAACTGTCACTGTGGTCTCTTAATTTTTTCCAGAGCTGTATATTAATTGCTTTAAATCCATAATCTCTGACACTTAAAATTATGGCTCACAATCTGGTCATAATGTTCCATAACTTACCATTAAAAAAATGATCGTATTGGGATTGTATTAGTAGATTTTTCATGCTGAGGAAAATCAGAGACAACAATGATGTCACACAGGGGCAATTCTTGGGCTTGATCCACAGGGGGCTGAGCCATCAGTAGAATATGTACAAATATGTGGGATAAAAAGGCTAAATGGATTTAGAAGATTTTTTTCAGAGGGGCTAAGATAGAAAATAGGGTGGCTGCATTGTATCTAGAATCGCCTGTGATGTACAACACATTACATAATGCAGAAACAACCACGGTGCTGCTTTTCAATGTCGAGTGGGAAAAGAGAACGTGGGGGGGAGTTATTTCATCTTTTTAATTAAAAGCGTAGCAATGGTGATGTTTGTATCTGTGCTTTGTAGGATATGGATACACTGGTGTCATGGCATATCAGCCACAATAACTACTAAAATATAAGCCTCTTTTTCTGATCATTTTATGATTAAATAGGAAAGGCATTGTATACCTCAAAGAGTTTGGATAATCTCTATTGTATTGGTCTGAATATGACAACTCATAATATGACCTGTAACATAAAAAGTCCAGCTGACATGAAGTCTCAGTGGATTTTAAACACATCCCTTGTACATAAAACACCCCTCCCCCAACTTTTATATCCGAAACCCCCCAAACAATGAAAATTTTGCTTTGCATATTCATGAGCTGACAGCGTCACAGGGCAATCACCCCTCTCTCTCTCTCTCTCTCTCTCTCCCTCTCTATCTCTCTTCTCTATCCTGTCTATCTCTCTTTTTTCTGGCCTCTGTATCTCTTCTCTTCTTCTTTTCTGGCTTGTCTATATCTCTCTCTCTCCCCCTCTCTTCTCTTGCCTGTCTGTGTATCTCTCTCTCTCTCTCTGTCTATCTCCCTTTTTTCTCTTGCCTGTCTGTGTATCTCTCTCTCTCTCTATCTATCTCCCTTTTTTCTCTTGCCTGTCTGTGTATCTCTCTCCTTTCGTTTCAGTGTAATTTCTTCTGTCGGGATGATCTTTATCCCTGTTGCTGTAACAGTGCCCCAGCCACCTTGTCTGGAACTGTCACAGTGTTTGTGGTGCCTATCTGGGTCAAAGCGGCTGTTCCATAAACAGTCATTAGGGTCCCACCTCCCAGAGGACCTGGTGCTCAGCCTCTCTGTCGCTGTTAACTGTGATTCGTGAAAATAATTACAGGCCATTTGCAAGTCAGCCGGCTGACGCCGCAAGCTGAAATAAAGTTTGTTAAACAGCTTGGTATTTTTTTTAACGCCTGTCTGTCAGATCTGACAGATTTTTGGGCGAGACACGCGTTCATTATTAACGAAACGCTACCTTTGGTAATAAATGTCTATGTGTCAAAGGAAAGATGAGACGGACCTTACAGGAGGCTGCTGTGTTGTCAGTCGGCTGTCACATTCACATCCACCTCTCCCGACGCCTTTGTTCCTATGCTGCTTTTTAATTGGCTTGGTACTGAGCACCGGTGCGCTCTCACTAACCCAAGTCCTGCTGCAGGCACCAGTGGGCTTCAGGACTGTGCCATTTCAACTAATGTACTGGCTGTGTGATCAAGTTGATCAAACCACTCAAGATATCTCCAGATAACAAGAAAGCTCGACAAAATATTAATCAATGGAAAAACAAAGTGGGCCAATGATCTTAGGAAAGACACTGTTAGGGCCGCTTGAGCGCAGCAGTGGTGAGACGTGTCTGGTTCACAGAGAGGAACCCATTACTGACCTCAGTGGCAGACAACTGTACACTGGGCCCTGGGGCAAAAATGGCCCATGCGTCCCCCCCCCGCCCTTTTCCAAATTCACACCTAGGGCTGCTTACATCAGTCGCAGCAGGTGCAGGTGATGAAATTAAAGTAGCCTCCAAATACAGTACCCATCATGCACTGCAGCAATTAGCAAATTCCGCAAATATACTTTTTTGTTAAATAACAAAAAACACCTCAACACCATAGTTTGACTACAAAACACACAGAACAAACTATTACATTTCAATATGGTTTTAAGTATTGTACCAAATATTTCTGTGTTATGACTCCCTCCATAATGAACGATATTAAAGTAGCATTCCACAAATTGCTATAATATGTATAATATCAGTGCCTTGATTCTCAGAAATGTTTAGTATGTATGTGAGATTTGCTGGGGGGTCCTGGGGCAACTGCCCCTTCTACCTGCTAATTACTGCAGTGCATGATGGGTATGGTGTTGAGCTGTTACAGATACCTGAACAAAATACTGATCATCCATCTCTCATCCAGGGACACAGAGCAGGAAGCCACACCCAGCAAGCAATAGGCACATGCCACAGGAAGAATAACAGTCCATTACAAATCACATATATACAACCACAGGCGATTTAGAGACAACACATGCGTATAGACTGTGGGAGGAAACACTGAGCGTAACCAGGGGAGAAATCAAGGTTCAGGCTGCAGCAGCACTGTCCTGCCAGAAGAGGTCACTCACACCAATCATACAAGCTGTATCCCCTCCATGGTGTACTGGCACAAACCGAAGGAGCAAATCCTAAAGCACGGATCCTGGGTCCTATCAGCAGTAGAAGGCATTCACAAACGTGCGTTTCTGAACAGAGTGAAAGGGAGTGACGTCCTTTGAGAAAGGCAGCTGGCACTTCTGTCTCCAGAAGCCATCAGCGTTCAGTCACTGTGCCTTCAAGAAGGACACGTGTCTCTCCCTCGTCTTTATCGGAATTTCAAATCTTCCCGCACCGTTAACCTGTTTCTTTGGTCCCATCACTTTGATCATTTATAATATGCTTTCCTGCTGTTATGCAGTTGTCTCTGTCTTGGAGTACATAGAGCTTAATTGGCTCTTCGCGCCCAGTAGTAAACCCCACCCAGAGCAACCGGGATTAGGTAAGGAAACCCACTAAAGGTTTGCAAGCACGAGACTGCTGCCTGTCGTCGATTCAGTCAAACATCTAGTGTTCATAGAGACACCACTGAGCGTTCCCCTTTCAGCATTCCTTTTGCACTGAACCAAAGTAGCTCTCTGGGAGTGAAGCAGTGGGTTATTAAGGACTGCCAAAATCATTTGCATCTGCATTTTATTTATGGCACATGAAGGATTTATTTGCTGTGGGCTGCCTGTCAGATTATCGGTAGAGAACTGAATCTGGCTGGGCATGATTAATTTCAGTATGATCACTGCGGCATCTCGGAGTATGTCAGATCAAACTAAGGAAACGTCAGCCTCGATTGGGATACTGCTTAGGAGTAATGGAACAATCCACCGGCGGGGTGCTGACGGAGCGACTTTAGCGCCTACGTCGTTACTCCTGTCACCATAAAACCGGTATCACTATCTGTATTTATCTATATGTATCCGTGGCTCGCCTCCCTTGATGCAGTATACGTACTGAGAGTACATGCCTTCTTCTATGATCTGTAATAAGAACAGTAATATGACAGCACGTGTCGAAGGGCAATGAGCGAGAACCGCGTTCCCAAAAAACGACTCGGTCTATCCCGCGAGCGTGTATGAGAAGGACTGTATAACTGCGCTCAGGGGTAAAATCAAGTTTTGGTGAGAGCCCAGCTGAAAGAAGAGAGCTCTGGAGGCTGACGGAGCGCTCCCCCACCTCCTTGCCTGTCTCCCCCGCCCCCCGTGTTGTACCCATCAAAAATTCATGCTGCAGCTGCTCACGTATAGCCCCTTATAACATCAGAAATAAGCCATCCATAAACAATGACAAATCAAACAAACATAGGGCCAGCCCAAAGAGAGTAAAACAGATCCCTCCGTGTACTCGTGAGATATAAAGCGTCATCTAATCGGTCGGGCCTCACTTGATACACAAACGCAATCCTCCGTGCTTTGTGTGGCAGGTCGGGTTTTGGTCGCCTGCCTCCCGCTCCATTTTTGCGTGGTAATTGGGTCTTCAGGGGGCACTTACGGTAATGAGCTATAGGATTAATTTGAATCGTTGACCCCCTGCCCTTTTCCACAACACCGCAAATCCTGACTGTTATATAGCTCCATATACTGTACAGAGTGGCAGGATGACAAAAAGCAGAAACATTGCTGTCTTTTTAAATGATCGCCAATGCCACAACGGCACAACAACATAAATTCATTACAAATATTTTAAAGGAAAGTAACAGGTCATGGAACTTCTTTATAAATGATGTAAGGTAAATTCCCCCAAAAATCTGCATCTCTTACGGCGAAATCTTATCATCACAGCTGCAGTGCATAAAAATCAGCGACCTGGCGCTATATACACAAACTTGTAAACCATCAAAAATAACGCTGTTTGCTGTTTCTGCTATTATTCAAATTTAATGTAAATATAGATATAAATCCATACGTATTTTCCGGTTACTCTCAAGACACTGAATGGCATGTTGTAATATGCTGCTCTTAAAACAATAACAATGCATGTGTTCTTGCCAGCTACTTAATCTACCTCTGGGATGAAATGCTGGGTTCTCTATTGCCGTTTTTGTCGCTTGGATGCATCGTCCCGTTAATCACTGTCACCGCGTCGGCCTCTCGGCTCCCGAGGACAATGACCGCTAGATGGCAGCATCGCCGCTCTCTCCGCGCCCGGCGGCCCGGCGCACTGACACGGCCACGTTGTTCCCAGTGTATACCCTCCTTCTCATCGCAATCCCTCCCTTCTTCTCCGGTTACAGTAGATCCATCTATCTTCCTCTCGCATCGCACTGTGCTGTCAGTATCAGATAGACCGAGCTGCTTCCATGGCGAAAAGCGAGCCGAATTTTTGTACGAAAGGAAGCTCTTCCCCGCACCTGTACCTGTCCCTGCTTCTGGCCGTTCACTGGGTGTCATTGCCGGGGCACGTAGACGGTGACAGCGGTGCTCTGCACCGGAGCGGCGGAGAGGGGACGCTTGACAGGAGCGGCGGCGGAGTGTTTGCGCGGAGGTTCGCCGATAGCGGCGGAGAGCCGGGCGCAGCGGGAACCGCACGCTTCAGGAGAGTAGCATCCCAGGAGAAAGTGTCCCTTCTGAGCAGCTCCTTCGTGCTGAAGGGGGACGCCACTCATAACCAGGCGATGGTTCACTGGACCGGCGAAAACAGCAGCGTAAGTGCAATTTCTGTCCATTTCAATCACTGCAAACTGACTTTAGTTATTGTCGCCGCTTGTCCTCTCCATTGGCAATACTGGTCAGCGACAAAGACGCCAACTTCTGTGTTGTCCTCGGACCCCTGCCCAGACGCACAAAGTGCTGGTCTGGTACACATGTACAGTATTAGAGCCAACTGACAGCTGTATACAATATAAATCTCAATGCATTTTAATGAAAAGAAAATTGCTGGTGTCCCTGATCACTGCTGCCAATTGCCGTAAATGATTAGAGACTATGGGTAATAAGGTACAGAATCAGCACCTGTCTTTTGTTCACCTACTGGCTTTTTAAAAGCCATTGTGTCAAACTGGTTTCTCTGCCTTCTAGCTTCGTGATGGATACTTCAGCTCTAAAACCTGCCCCCTGCGCAATGGAAAATAATTATTTTTATTCCTACAAACATATCCCAAGTGGAACTTTGTTTCATCATTATGGTCATTGGTGCTTTAAGAATCCCTGTTATTATTATTGCCTGAGCTATTCCTTCCTGCACAGAAGTTTTGAGAAGGCATGCAGCATGTAGGCTATGGACGAGTTTTGCAGAATAAGACAAATAAGCTTTTGCTTAACAGGAAACAGGTTCGTGGCGACATCAGCGACGCCGAGCCCACTGGGTTACCGCGGGGATACCCCCCTCCCCAGCCGGACACTTCGGGCTTCTCTACCGTCCATATCAATGATCGGGCTCATTATTCCCTGAAATTAATTAGTTCCGCTGTTCTTTTCAAAGATTTCGAGTGTGCGTATAGCTACAGTTCAAAGTGACTTACATGAAGGTGTTTATTAAGCTTCGCTGAATGCGAGTTGAACAGGACTTGGAGAGGTCTTGTTCTGCCTCAATATTATGTCTAAATTGCATTATTTTGTGGGAATACACGATTTAAACAACTCTTCATGGCCTTCCCGACCTACTTTCTGTAGGCCTATTTAAAAGTTAGATTGCACTTTATCGCTTTTAATGTACGGAAACTGTTTATGTATTATTATTATTATTATTATTATTATTATTAGGCCTATTTAAATTAAGCGGCTGCTTACATTATGGCGTCTCCAATTTTATTTGTATTAGTAATTTTGCTCTGAGGAGCGCGTCCTGCTGATTTTGTTTTAGTTTTATATACATCTGCTGAGCTTTCGACCCCCTGCCTGGAACACGGCTTCTTAGCAGACGTGTACCGGGTCAGGATTATGCTTACCCTGCTTTCAGCTCTCTTGTGTAAAAGTAGCGGAGACTTGACGGCGTTGGAGGCAGGCGGTGATGCGGAGAGCCGTCGGACTGTGACCGAGGATCGCATGTTTCTAATAGACTCTGCTCAAGGGCACTTACGGTACCCTGGGGAGCCACAACAAATGTCCATTTATAGCTCTTCCGTGTGGCTGTGCGTGTGTTGTGGGATACATGGCTTTGTTAGTATAACTGAGTGACTATGCGTGTGCGTGTTTCTCGGTATACAAACTGCCTTCGTGTAAACCTGTGTGCTTTGGTGTGTACTCTATGATTATAAGCGGTTAAATATTTTTTCTTTAAACATATCTGTATATACTATGGCCATGTGTTTCAGTGCATTGGCGAGTTATGATGGGGATGTGTTCTGATTGAGCTCCCTTAATGTGGAGCGGTTTTTCATCTCCCACGGCCGAAAGTGGGTACCATCGCTGGGTGGTGGGGGGGAGGGGGGGTGCAGAGGGACTGCGAGGGCGTAGGAAAAGCAGCCCGGCTCACTTGTTGGTTGAGTCTTTCTCTAAGTGGTGTAAATGGCCATTTTGTTTGAAAAGTGGGCGGTGGTGGGAGGATTTCGTCCTGTTTTAGGGGTGCGGTGGGCGGTGTGTTTTGGGCACAGTGCCGGTATGAGATGGGGCTGCAGGGCGCCCCCTACAGGGAGGCAGCAGGTGTGCATCCTTTAGTGAGCTTTCCAGTGCATCCGTGGCAAATAATCTGCTTTCAAACGGGACTTTACAAATAAGTCTGCTTTACTCAGCAGCAGATTCCCTGGTTCAGCTGTCAGAAAGTTCTGCTGGCTTCCGCAGGAATGAAGAAGCGGGACAAACAGGGGGAGGAGCTGATCCACAGGCAGCTGGCACTGTCAGCCTGCGTGGCTCCCTGCATTTCTGTGCTTCCTTTTGGTCAGAGACGTCTTTAATTTCTTGCCTCCTCCCCCACACGGACACCACCGCAGATCCCGACTGTACGCGCCGTCCTGGGAAAGCCTTGATTGACGATCGTCAGCGATTATACGTTAACTCGGCTGGGGCTGCGTTAAGATGGTCTGCCGGGGACACCGATAAAGCCCCCGCCTGTCACACAAACACTGTAAGCAGTCGGGCACCTAGGGGAAGATGCCATTTAAACTTTCTAATGATGTTTCCCGTGCCGTTTCTCCTGCTCCGGCAGCACGTTATGAGATCTTTCTGTCAGGGTTTCACCAAATGCCTTAAAATAACGTAAAATGGCGAGATATGTGTCATCCACGTCCGAGAAGCGGCAATCAAGGTTTCCGTGAAAGGGTGGAATATATTATATTTTACGCTTGCCATAATTAATTAGAGCGTCAACACTCTTTCTTCCCAAATAAGCACCATTAACTGCGTACATAATGAATTACCAGGTTAAGTCGTCTGGCGTGCTGCAGCGCTTTTATAGGGACCCTGGAGAAATCTAGCAAAAATGATATGGTTTATATAGCACGGACATGGCCATCAATCGCATAGAAAACAACTTCCATAATTTCTAAGTGCCGATTTCAAAGGCAACTTGCTCGTCGTGGCTGCATATCATGCATGTATACGTGTATATATATTCGTCGTTTTTGGCATAGAGGGTGTCCCCCTGCCGCGTGCCCCGCATCCCCCACCCAGGATAACAGTTTTTTGTCCCGGATCTATATGGTCAAAGATAAAAATATCCGAATACTTATCTGCTGATAAAGTTACACACGTGTTTTATTGCATTCCATTAATTCCAATTCTGCTGAAATGGAATACAGTGAATTGTAGGAATGCGTGTATCTGGGAGATGTTTATGAATTACTGACCACATGGACGCCGTAGCACACAATGCAGGGTGGCGGGGAGCCGAATTAGATTGGTCTTTGTTACTACCACAGATGAACAGGTACGTCTAGAAAAAGAATCCGGAAAAAAACAGCCGAAGTGAGAGTCAGAGGATCCCCATAGCGGGGCCTCTCAAGCCTGCTTTGCGGCTTGTAATTAATGCGGCTTAATTGGACAGCTACGGAGTGGAGGAGTACCGTATTTTTTAAAATGACTTAGGGGCATCCCTCTCCTAACACTTACTCAGTATAGTCAATGTTATGGATATATTTAGCGTAAACAAAAGAAGACCATGGCAACCTGATTGTTTTGTTTCTGCAGTTCATTTGCTTAATCGAATGAAATAAATCAGTTGTTGAATTGCGACGTGGCTAATAATCCGAATAAAAAGTCATACGCATTCGATAGTAATTGTATGTGGCACTGTGTTATTTTAAGGGCAAAAAGAGAATTATGCTGTAGACATACACTATAAATAGATGTGCCAACAAGAACGTACAGAAATACAAATTAATTTCACAGCTGAATTTCCTTCATTTAAAGTTGAGCTGGAAAACGTTGGCGGGAGATCGATCTCCCTGCGGATGGAGACTGCAAGATCCGCTCAGCGTGGCTCATCAGCGCCGCGGAGGCTGGGTCCGGTGTCCCAGTCTCGCTTGCCCCCAGGGTCTGCCGCGGGCTTCTGGGAAAGCTTCTCTCCGTTTATCAGCTCGCTGCTTTAGCACTGATGGCATCGAGCGGCCATTTCATCTCCACCTGGCTATAATACCTCAGGGTTGGCATTTTTTAAGGCAATGCCGAGAGCTTAGAATTTGTCGGGATCTAAATGGATCTCCATCCATCCTTCCATCTATCCATCCATGGTTTTTCTAACTGCTTATGTTGGTCAGAATTGGGTGTGTGGGGGGAGGGGGGGCAGCACAGGGTGCAGGGTTGGGGTACAGCCTTTATGGGACGCTAGTCCATCGCAATAATTTTTGTTGCTTTATCTCTATAATGACTGAAATTAAATTATTGAACAACTTCATGTATAACCATTCACACAAGCACATGCAAATATATCTAACATTCTGTGTTTTGCTCCTTGATTATTATGGATTATGGATTTTAGAGAATTTCAGGAATTTTTTCCACATGGATAAGATAAGATAAGATAAGATAAGGAGGGTCTTGTCTTGTTTGTAAGCATTGTTAAGCCCCCGGGAGCCACCCCCACGGGGACCAGTCAGCTCAACTATGACTGTGAGAGCTTAATTATACATGTCTAATGTGAGCCAGCTGTACCTAGTCATACGTTCCCTTCTCAGCTGGCAGTGGGCATTTCCGTGCTGGAGGTGTGTAATTGTGAGCTTGCACACTGATAATGCTACACTCCACACCATGATTTTGCTTGACACATCACACATGTTTAGCTCCATAAGATGTTGTCTTAAAGGCCGTCCCTTCCCTACAGACACCCCTACACTAAGGCAGATGGTTTGCTCCTGAAATCCTGGATTTCATTGCACGGATGTGACCCTGGTGAGTCACTAACAAAGGTGGCTTTATCGGGGATGTTGGTGACACCCTTGGCTGAACTGTGATTGAGTGGGCTTGGGTTGTGATTGGCTGAGGCATTAAGGACATAGTGGATGGGGTGTTTTTTTTTGTCAATATTTAGGATAATTCCCCCCAGCAGTAACAACCAAATGACAATGCTTGAAGTGACACCTTATTCGGTAGCCTCAGGATGTATAAAGTTTTTTTCCTTTACATAAGTGACTTTTTCGTTGCACAATAGAATAGTTTTTTCACTAAGGTTTACAGTTAGGTGTAAAATATACCTACAGATAGATTTTCTCAATGCAGACTCTTCCCATTTTGCAAAAAAAAAAAAATCACCAATAAGTCACACAAAGTACTT